CAACAGACGATGCTACAGCAGCAACAGACGATGCTACAGCAGCAGCAGACGATGCTACAGCAGCAGCAGACGATGCTGTACAGCAGCAGCAGCTGACGGGTACAGCAGCAGCAGGATGCAGCTGACGGTGGTACAGCAGCAGCAGCTGACAGTGCAGCAGCAGCTGACAGTGCAGCAGCAGCTGACAGGCAGCGCAGCTGACGGTGGTACAGCAGCAGCAGCAGCTGTACCACCAATAGTAGCGATGGTTGATTGGGGTTTATTATACAACCTGGCCAGCTCGGAGACACGCACTCCACTTTTATACTTATCAATGATCTTTTTCTTCATCTCCATAGTAATTCTCACCCTTATTGCTGTAGGGTTGGCACTAGAAGCTTTCTTGGGGCCCATGGTCACTTATTTTCCAGAAAAAAATCACCAAAAACACTGTAATAATACGAAATGTTCCGATTGTATGCTTGGAATGTTACGGCGGAGGCTGGCTGGTAAACAATGCCACCGGCGGAACATGTGAGCGTGGCTCAGGCCGCACATTGGACGTGTCTTGGACGAAGGGCGCTGAGCGGGTTTTTGGGCGGTATGCGAGGCAAAATTTTAGCGATCAAAGCGTCCGGTATGCGGATTGTCCGTTATGCAAGGCGTCCGGTATGCGGGGGTCCACTGTATGCTTGTATATGCATATGTAATGTGACCTTAGTATAAGTAGCAACATGTATCTGAAATCTTGCATGTTTAAGAGACAGAAAAAAGATGCCAGCAATCCTACCATCATGTAAAACAATTATTAAAGGATTTCGTTTTACACTCGCTTGGCAGGGCGGTTGCTGTCTACCAACCTATTACCTAGGTTAAATATTGTTATTTTATATTACAGTCGACCGTCATTTAGCACGATTTGGGTATTGCATGATTGAAGAATTGCGGCACAATTTTATGTAGCACGTCATAATTAATTTAACACGGCTCAGTTTGTGGGAAGGAAAAAAAAAAATTCTCTTTTGCTCAAGTGGCCTCCTCGTTGTGGAGCAGCCGGGGAGCCCTCCCGCCATCCCCTACCACTCCCCGACACCACCCCACCATCCCAGCGTTCGTAATTCGTGTGTGTGTCCAATTCAGTCTTTCTCTGCTACAAGGCAGCTGTGTTTGAGAATTGTGTTATATTTTAATTACTGTATCTTGTATCTGGCAAGCAATCGTGATACCCAGTAGCCATACCACTGTTGCTGAAAGTGGCACAAAGAGGTATAAGCACTTAAGTCTTAAAATTAACAAAGAAACAAAGATATTAGATAAGATATAACCTGTAGCTGTAATAAAGTGTAACTTTGTACACAGAAAAAGAAGTAAACATGAGTTTGTGACTGAATGACTGACTTACTGACTGACTGAACTGACTGATTGACTGAGTGACTTAGTGAGTGACTTGACCAACTTACTGAGTGACTTGACTGACTGACTTAATGAATGACTTGACTGACTGAATGGATGACTTAAGACACTCCAGTACAACCATCGACTTCAGTACCAGAACCTCTCCCATCCACCTCAGACCAGTAGGGCCACAGCATAACTCTCCACTCTCTTCACAATCATCCACAAACACCAGCACCCACAATTTAAGGTAAGAAATGCTATTATTTCTATTATATTTGTAGTTTTAAGCAGTAAAAACAATATATCACAACAACGAACTACAACTACATATTCACTTTTATTTTTGTAAGATGTGGAGGCCTAAAAAAAAGTTGTTTGGCTTTTTGGGGACTCCCAGGAACGTAACCCTATTTTTCCCACAAGTTCTTCAGTTCATCTAACACGATGGCATTTTCAGGAACATAACTACCATGCTTAATGACTGTCTACTGTATTTTTTTTTAATGGCCTTCTGCTAAGGCAGGGTGACCCAAAGAAGACAACACATTCACCAACATTCACTCAATCACCATTTTTCCAGACATGTGGCAACATCCCAATCAGATTACTTTCTGACTGCAGCATCCCCCACTCCTTCAGAGTGTAGGCATTGCATTTCCCATGTCATGGACTCAGGTCCTGCTAATGAGTTTCATTGAATCCCTTCGCAAGTTACCATGCTCTTGCTCCAACAGCATGTCGAATAACATGCTTACTCAGATTTGTTGGATGTTCAAACTCTTAAAACTCAAAGCCTCTTTTACACCCTCCAGCAGTTCCTGGGATGACCCCCTGACCTCTCCTACCCCATCTTATTATTATTATTATTTTTTTTAATGAACTGGCTGTACCCTACCGAGGCAGGGTGACTTAAAAAGAAAAATTAAGTAGTTATTAATATTTTTATTTATTATTATAGTATTAGTTGGGGCATTATGGTTAAGGAACATTTTTACACAATTGTTTTTTGAGATTGTGTTTATTAAATAACTTTCATATTCAAGCTTGCCTGCATAGTCTGTACAGTATTGAGTTTTTTTTATTTTTTATTTATTTTATTTTTTTTTGTAGAAATTTGAAGGTTATGTATTTTGCCAGTATGTTGTGATAGCACAAAATTCTAAGTTGTCTTATCAGCAGTGCTGCACTATATACTGTTGCAACAGCAAATAAACAATTAAGAGTTTACTTTGGCATTTAGTAAATTCAGTATATTCAGTAACTTCATTAAAAATTCTTACTCCATATCCTTCTCATGCAACATTATTCATAAATTTTTATATATTTATTTTTTATTGGTGTTTTCACAGGTCTGTCACAACATCTGGCTACTTCAGATATATAATAAAGGATCATTCAGTTTGTTTTAGCATGGGTTCCTTCAACTGTTAGTGCATTACTTCTTCAGCAGTTCTGTGAAATGTTCGTAGGAGCTGAACTCTTGTCTAATACATCAGCCAGTATTTGAGCCAAAAGCTATCGTGCAGTTAAATAATTGTTAGAGGTGATGGATATTATATAGTATAGTATTACACCAGCAGGTTTTGATATTAACGAGTGCTCAACAATTGCAGCAGTAGGTAGCAATTGGTCAGTAAAAGGGACAGATGTGGTATAATGCATTAAACTGCATTTGTGTTTCTTTTACCATTGTGTCAGTATTTTATACCATTCTTTCCACTGTATTGATTATAGTTGTAAATTATTAGGAGAGGGTCATTGATCATTCACTTTATACTGCAGGACTTTGCAGAAGCAGGGTTTTCAAGTGCAAAAGAAAGAGATTAAGAAGCACTGAGTCATAATCAAATGTTACAGCCTAAAGGTTGCAAAATTTATGAAGTTGCAGGTGTTTGGCAGCTCAGTATTTCCCATGCTGAAAAATAAAATTGCTGTGCCTTTTAACCCTTTCAGGGTCTGTCCTGTAGCTCTATGGCTTTGAAGCCGTAGATCTACGCCATGAGCTCAGCTCACTCAGATAAGCTGTGAGTGGTAAATTTGGGCCTAGGTATGAGAGAATACATAAAACAAATCCTGCGGCACGCAGTGCATAATGAGGGAAAAAAACTGCATCTAATTTTGGATTAAAACAGCGACTTTGCTGTGTTTTTTCATATGTTTTTTACAGTTGTATTTGCAATTTCTTGGTCTCATTTGATAGAATGGAAGATATGTTACAGAAATAGAGATGATTTTGATTGGTTTTGATACTGAAAATATCTTGAAACTAAGCTCAAAGTAGCAGAAATGTTAATTTTTGCCGATGTTCAAGAGTAAACAAATGTCACGCATCTAATATGCGTCAGCTGGCGGGTCTAATATATGTTCACAAATGTAGTCATATTATTTATACAATTACTAGAATATTGGATAGTAGTAAATCTTCCATTATTTTGTTTGAATAATAATTCATTATGTGAATAAAAAATCAAAATGGAAATCATTTGTAAAGCCAGAAAACATAACTAATGAACAGAGGAAATGTTAGTTTAGTGCCAGGAATGCCTTCATTGTTTATTCTGGACCCTGTTTTGAAATTGGAATATTTTGAACTTTGTGTTAAATTGGCCAAATTACCAATTTCCAATCATTTTATTGGGTAGTTAAAACAGTTGACTGGGCAGTTTCTTGTGCTCAATCGATAAGATAGAAGTAATACTAGCAAAATAGCTAAGAATTTGGTCAACTGGAATAATGTAATTGGCCTAAAATGGGAGTCAAAATCAGCAAAATCGCTGATGCATAAGTATCGCAGACACATCAAAATTTGTGAGAGCATAATTTCATCAGTTTTCCATCAAATTTTGTATTTTTTGTTTTATTACCTTCAGAAAAGATTCTCTTCCATTTCATTGAAAAAATAATATTTTTTTTTTTTTATTCAATTTCTTGGACCCTGGCTGTCACTTTTGAGATTTGGCCTCTGGACCCTCAAAGGGTTAATTTCCAAGGCCTAGTGAATACAGTATATTTACACTTCATTTTCCTTAATAATTATAAAATTAACAGCAATGTGTAATACAGTGGACCCCCGGTTAACGATATTTTTTCACTCCAGAAGTATGTTCAGGTGCCAGTACTGACCGAATTTGTTCCCATAAGAAATATTGTGAAGTAGATTAGTCCATTTCAGACCCCCAAACATACACGTACAAACGCACTTACTTAAATACACTTACATAATTGGTCGCATTCGGAGGTAATCGTTATGCGGGGGTCCACTGTACTGTATTTAATTTGTAATGGACACTTTTAAGAAGTTTTATGCATAATTTTTGGACTGCATTTTTGGGATGCTTTATGAAGCAGTCTCAATTCTTATGTTGTAATGGAAGTAATCCATACTTTTCCACAGTTAGTTTTTAAAGTCCAGTTTGCTGCTTGTGCTGTGCAGTTGTTATTGAGCATTTTAAATACTAGTTGGGATTGTAATGGTTGTTAACATTGTGTGAGGAAGCTTCTGTGACTATGGTAAGTGGCATACTTGATGAAGCTGCATAAGTAATGAGTTGATGCTATTGTCAGTAGATACATGTACTCAAAACTTAAATAGCTTTTTAATTTGTGCTTTGTTTTCTGCACAGGTTGTACGCTTGTGTGCCAAATCCCGGGAAGCTATTGATTCTCCAGTTTCATTCTTGGCCTTACATAACCAAATCCGTAGTCTTGAGGAGTAAGTATTGTGTGTCTTGGGGAAAAATGTATGCAAGGATAATTACCTTTTTTTTTTTTTATCATGGGTGTTTTCCACTAAATGGCTGCATCTGTACACTGGACTGCCACACATTTCTTCTCTTCTGCCAAGACATACAGTAACTGGCAACACCAGTGTTGCAGTATGTAAATAAAAAGAATGCCTGCTACCTAGAGAATTAGATAAAAAGAATACCTGGAACCTACAGTGGCTGGAACAGATCACCCAATCCCTGCACTTACGTTGGCTGGGACCATTGTCAAGTGATTTGTCAATGGTCCAGGACAGACTGGAATGTCATTATAAGGTTCTTCTCTTAAGTGGGGTTTTTGTGATTACCTGCCACCTGACTGCTCACCAATGTTTGCTACTAACCAAGCTTGCATTACATTTCCCTGTAAAGCCATGTTATGCAGCATGTTGATTCATTTATATATTTTGATTGTTGTGTGAATGGTTGTTTGACTTTTTAAATGACTCGCTATACTGCTAAGTAAATTTAGGATCAAATGTACATATAATTTTTTGAAAGCTATATTTTTGCAGTAAGAGTTTAAAGACCCCCATTTAACACACTTTATGACTTTTGTATAAAATTGATTGTAAGCTATTCAAAACTGTTAATTTTATCTGCAGTTACTGATGTTTGTGTTGATAGATTCATTGGTTATTGCTATTATCACTGCTATTTCATCGTATCCTTTTATAAATTTACAAAACAAAGTTAAATGGTTGTTGTTGCAGCAATGGCGAGCTTCAGAAGCTGCAGCAACTCAAGGAAGAGACGGGAGAGCTGTCATCAGCTGATGAGAAGCGTTACCGCATGTTGAAGAAGCAGGCAGAAAAAGTATGTTATATTTATGTAATGTGTGAAGTATGGGCCTAACTGGAGCAGCAAAAAGTGAAGATGATACTTTGAGAACAATATTTGGTGGTAATATAATGTACAAAGTAACGAATGGAGCTATGTGAAGAATGTACAGTAGTGTGAAAATTGTTGGATCAGAAAAGGAGTTGCTGAAAGGGTTTGTTTATATATAAAGAATGTATGGGTGATAAAGAGGGTGTAGAGAGGTTTCTTATGGAATGTGAGCAATGTAATATCTGTGAAGGGATCCAGCAAAATGGGCTGGCTACTATACAGGAAGGCCTCACTTTACAGCACTTCTCTTTACAGCAGTTTGCTAATACAGTGGTTTACAATTATATCCATTCTTCATTTATTCAGACTTCCTACAATAAATATATTCACCACTCATTATAAGCTAAGGACGAAAATATTTCAAGGGAAGTAATGTGTGTAGTGTATATGCATTTTTAGGCCTAGCTCTATTGCTCACTTAACATATTAAGATGTAAAGATGTTATCAGGATTTTATATGGATTTGAAAGTGAAAAAAGCCTATGTTTCACTTTACAGCAATAGCCTGGAACCTAACCTGCTGTATAAGTGGGGCCCTTCTGTATATACTTTCAAAAGCAGGATGTGGTCTCACGTCAGCGAGTCAGTGTTGGGCAACTGTAGGCTGTTTGATATAGGCTTAGTGATGAAGGGCTCACTTTCGAAAGGGAAAATATTAATTTAAATTTATTTATTTTAGGATATTTTATATCAATCCAACTTTCTTGCATACTATTTAATTAATCTTAGAAAAAAAATCTGCAATAAATCAGTTTAACGGTTTCATGCTGTTTAAGTTTTGACTTTTTTTTTTTTATTTTTTTTTTTTTTTTTAACATGCTGGCTGTCTCCCACTGAGGCAGGGTGACCCAGAGAAGAAGCACTTTTGCCATCATTCAAACATAATCAGTCTTTGCAGAGGTGCTCAGACATGACATTTTAGATGTCACTCCAACAGCCAATATCCCAAACCCCTCCTTTATAGTGCAGGCATTGTACTTCACACTTGCAGGACTAATATTTGAATTTAATTTTCATTCTATCTCTCGTCTTTCTGCCTGGGAATTATCCATTTTGAGGGGTGTTTTCTCTTTGTTACAAATTTATATTTGTTATGGCCTTCCAGCACCTAGTGCTAAACAGTTATTTTTTATTTTTTACAGACATTTAATATTGTAGTGTTATAGTAGTAGGTTGGTAGACAGCAACCACTCAGAGAGGTACTACCGTTCTAACAAGTGAATGTAAAACAGAAGCCTGTATTTGTTTTATATGATGGTAGGAGTGTAGGTAGTAGGTTGGTAGACAGCAACCACCCAGGGAAGTACTACCGTCCTGCCAGATGACTGTGAAACAAAAACCTGTAACTGTTTTGCATGATGGTAGGATTGCTGGTTTCTTTTTCTGTCTCATAAACACGCTAGATAACAGGGATATCTTGCTACTCCTACTTACACTTTGGTCACACTTCACAGACACGCACATGCATATATATATATATATACATACATCTAGGTTTTTCTCCTTTTTCTAAATAGCTCTTGTTCTTTTTTATTTCTTCTATTGTCCATGGGGAAGTGGAAAAGAATCTTTCCTCCGTAAGCCATGCGTGTCGTATGAGGCGACTAAAATGCCGGGAGCAATGGGCTAGTAACCCCTTCTCCTGTATACATTTACTAAAAAAGAGAAGAAGAAAAACTTTATAAAAACTGGGATGCTTAAATGTGCGTGGATGTAGTGCAGATGACAAGAAACAGATGATTGCTGATGTTATGAATGAAAAGAAGTTGGATGTCCTGGCTCTAAGCGAAACAAAGCTGAAGGGGGTAGGAGAGTTCAGTGGGGGGAAATAAAAAGGGATTAAATCTGGAGTATCTGAGAGAGTTAGAGCAAAGGAAGGGGTAGCAGTAATGTTAAATGATCAGTTATGGAAGGAGAAAAGAGAATATGAATGTGTAAATTCAAGAATTATGTGGATTAAAGTAAAGGTTGGATGCGAGAAGTGGGTCCATAATAAGCGTGTATGCACCTGGAGAAGAGAGGAATGCAGAGGAGAGAGAGAGATTTTGGGAGATGTTAAGTGAATGTATAGGAGCCTTTGAACCAAGTGAGAGAGTAATTGTGGTAGGGGACCTGAATGCTAAAGTAGGAGAAACTTTTAGAGAGGGTGTGGTAGGTAAGTTTGGGGTGCCAGGTGTAAATGATAATGGGAGCCCTTTGATTGAACTTTGTATAGAAAGGGGTTTAGTTATAGGTAATACATATTTTAAGAAAAAGAGGATAAATAAGTATAACACGATATGATGTAGGGCGAAATGACAGTAGTTTGTTGGATTATGTATTGGTAGATAAAAGACTGTTGAGTAGACTCAGGATGTACATGTTTATAGAGGGGCCACAGATATATCAGATCACTTTCTAGTTGTAGCTACACTGAGAGTAAAAGGTAGATGGGATACAAGGAGAATAGAAGCATCAGGGGAAAAGAGAGGTGAAGGTTTATAAACTAAAAGAGGAGGCAGTTAGGGTAAGATATAAACAGCTATTGGAGGATAGATGGGCTAATGAGAGCATAGGCAATGGGGTCGAAGAGGTATGGGGTAGGTTTAAAAATGTAGTGTTAGAGTGTTCAGCAGAAGTTGTGGTTACAGGAAAGTGGGTGCAGGAGGGAAGGGGAGCGATTGGTGGAATGATGATGTAAAGAGAGTAGTAAGGGAGAAAAAGTTAGCATATGAGAAGTTTTTACAAAGTAAAAAGTGATGCAAGGAGGGAAGAGTATATGGAGAAAAAGAGAGAGGTTAAGAGAGTGGTGAAGCAATGTAAAAAGAGAGCAAATGAGAGAGTGGGTGAGATGTTATCAACAAATTTTGTTGAAAATAAGAAAAAGTTTTGGAGTGAGATTAACAAGTTAAGAAAGCCTAGAGAACAAATGGATTTGTCAGTTAAAAATAGGAGAGGAGAGTTATTAAATGGAGAGTTAGAGGTATTGGGAAGATGGAGGGAATATTTTGAGGAATTGTTAAATGTTGATGAAGATAGGGAAGCTGTGATTTCGTGTATAGGGCAAGGAGGAATAACATCTTGTAGGAGTGAGGAAGAGCCAGTTGTGAGTGTGAGGGAAGTTCGTGAGGCAGTAGGTAAAATGAAAGGGGGTAAGGCAGCCGGGATTGATGGGATAAAGATAGAAATGTTAAAAGCAGGTGGGGATATAGTTTTGGAGTGGTTGGTGCAATTATTTAATAAATGTATGGAAGAGGGTAAGGTACCTAGTGATGGCAGAGAGCATGCATAGTTCCTTTGTATAAAGGCAAAGGGGATAAAAGAGAGTGCAAAAATTATAGGGGGATAAGTCTGTTGAGTGTACCTGGTAAAGTGTATGGTAGAGTTATAATTGAAAGAATTAAGAGTAAGACAGAGAATAGGATAGCAGATGAACAAGGAGGCTTTAGGAAAGGTAGGGGGTGTGTGGACCAGGTGTTTACAGTGAAACATATAAGTGAACAGTATTTAGATAAGGCTAAAGAGGTCTTTGTGGCATTTATGGATTTGGAAAAGGCGTATGATAGGGTGGATAGGGGGGCAATGTGGCAGATGTTGCAAGTGTATGGTATAGGAGGTAGGTTACTGAAAGCAGTGAAGAGTTTTTACGAGGATAGTGAGGCTCAAGTTAGAGTATGTAGGAAAGAGGGAAATTTTTTCCCAGTAAAAGTAGGCCTTAGACAAGGATGTGTGATGTCACCGTGGTTGTTTAATATATTTATAGATGGGTTGTAAGAGAAGTAAATGCGAGGGTCTTGGCAAGAGGCGTGGAGTTAAAAGATAAAGAATCACACACAAAGTGGGAGTTGTCACAGCTGCTCTTTGCTGATGACACTGTGCTTTTGGAGATTCTGAAGAGAAGCTGCAGAGATTGGTGGATGAATTTGGTAGGGTGTGCAAAAGAAGAAAATTAAAGGTGAATACAGAAAGAGTAAGGTTATGAGGATAACAAAAAGATTAGGTGATGAAAGATTGGATATCAGATTGGAGGGAGAGAGTATGGAGGAGGTGAACGTATTCAGATATTTGGGAGTGGACGTGTCAGCGGATGGGTCTATGAAAGATGAGGTGAATCATAGAATTGATGAGGGAAAAAGAGTGAGTGGTGCACTTAGGAGTCTGTGGAGACAAAGAACTTTGTCCTTGGAGGCAAAGAGGGGAATGTATGAGAGTATAGTTTTTACCAACGCTCTTATATGGGTGTGAAGCATGGGTGATGAATGTTGCAGCGAGGAGAAGGCTGGAGGCAGTGGAGATGTCATGTCTGAGGGCAATGTGTGGTGTGAATATAATGCAGAGAATTCGTAGTTTGGAAGTTAGGAGGAGGTGCGGGATTACCAAAACTGTTGTCCAGAGGGCTGAGGAAGGGTTGTTGAGGTGGTTCGGACATGTAGAGAGAATGGAGCGAAACAGAATGACTTCAAGAGTGTATCAGTCTGTAGTGGAAGGAAGGCGGGGTAGGGGTCGGCCTAGGAAGGGTTGGAGGGAGGGGGTAAAGGAGGTTTTGTGTGCGAGGGGCTTGGACTTCCAGCAGGCATGCGTGAGCGTGTTTGATAGGAGTGAATGGAGACAAATGGTTTTTAATACTTGACGTGCTGTTGGAGTGTGAGCAAAGTAACATTTATGAAGGGATTCAGGGAAACCGGCAGGCCGGACTTGAGTCCTGGAGATGGGAAGTACAGTGCCTGCACTCTGAAGGAGGGGTGTTAATGTTGCAGTTTAAAAACTGTAGTGTAAAGCACCCTTCTGGCAAGACAGTGATGGAGTGAATGATGGTGAAAGTTTTTCTTTTTCGGGCCACCCTGCCTTGGTGGGAATCGGCCAGTGTGATAATAAAAAAAAAAAAAAAAAAATGAGTGCTAGTGTCTTTTTTCTGTCTCAAACATGCAAGATATCAGGTACGTCTT